TATGATGTGACCTCTATTCCTGACATTTGCAGGAAAATTTGATGTCAACCTGGCCTTATAAAAAAGCCACTTAGCTCAAAGGTCGACACCCATTCTCTCCCCCTTCCCCAATGAGTTACCGTATACATATCTTGACCTCCTAAACGTTTGCGCAGGTGCGAACACAGCCAATAGCATTAAATGTGCGTCTCATAAACAGGTCACCACAGACAAGTCAGAAAAGTAACATCCACAGGTAACGGCCCAACCAGAAGGGTCAATTTTGCAGCTTCTACAGGGTGAAAGAGTTTGAGTGGACATAGAAGAGGAAGAGAATCACCAATCTTGTCTTTGTCCCAGCATTACTGCGTGGTAATAACCCAAGCTCATAGAAATGCATATCAACAGAATTGTCTGAAAAGAAAGAGGAAAGACACTGGTCATCTCATATTATGTAAATGTCTCACATTTTACACATCTGGGGTTTAACCAAATTCAGTTAGATTTGATTTAACTTTAGCTAATTAACCAGATGGGGAACTCTTGCGATGTAGCAGCTAGACGCTCAACTGCAGATCAGAAGGTCCTGGGTTCAAGTCCCTATGCAGCCAGACTTTTTGTTTGAAAAATGACCTTGGTTTATGCAGATGACCCCACATAGACAATTTCATAAGCCTGGATAAGGCTAACTTAGAAAACTATATACAACTATGATCTCAGTGGATCTCTTCCCCCCAATCCTCAAAAAGTTACCTTCTCTTAAGTGGAAAACCAAGCCTTGAGTGGGTAAAATGGTACAGTCCTAGGAAGTAAAGTCAGCTGGTGGGATGCGAACCACATCGCCAAGTGCTGATTGGTCTATTAAATATAGCCCTCTATGCCCAATGGGGAAAAGAGTTTTTTTTTTTTCAATGCTTCAGAATACCAGCACAAGCTTTTCTGCGGGCCCTATATTCTGCCTTTCAGCTTGGGGTTGTGAAGAGGCACCCAGTGCAAGCATTGGTGTGTGTGTGTGTTACAGCTGCTGGTATTCACGGTCTCAGATATACCTAGCTGTTCATCGCTTGCAAGGGTAGCCTTTAGTTCTGCTTCCATTGTATCCAAGTGACAGGGCTTTCTGTGGTGCCCTGTCTTGCTGTCATTTTGACACCTGTCCGAACTATTTGACCTGTTTTTTATATCAGGAGAAAACTAACCTAACATGGAAACAGGGCCTCTACTTTTTTTTCTAATCAACAAAACTTGAACTTGTACATTGCTGTCATGCCTTTGTGGAGTTACCACATGTTTCTTCTTTGCATTCAGCAGCTGTAAGTTCTGGTTGTTTGTCCACTTCTGGATTTTGATGTTGTTCCAGAACTTGAGTTTTGCGCGCACATCCATTTCACATACCTGTCTTATTTGTATGCAAGGAAGCATTGCTAATCAGTTAACTTGCTTGTGGGGGGTCTTAACAACCCCTTCCCCCAATTGGGACCCACTAATATTAACAGGATGAACTCAGGTAAAGTTGTGACAATGTAAGCCACTGGAAAACACAAAATCTACGCCATATTGGCAAAATTACACAGGCTGCTGCAGTCTCCATCAGCAATCGGCAAAACACAAAGATTGAACTGACAGTCAGTAGCATGTCCTTTGCAGAACCTTACTCCCATATCAACCCTCCTGAAAACTTCTTGATCACAAGCAAGATGTCCTGTCTCCGATACACCCATCTGGAAATCATCTACCACATCCCGCACCCATCTTCTCTTTGGCCTTCCTCTTCCTCTCTTCCCAAACATATACCCCTCTGACACTGAATTAACTAATTTGAAGCATTATAATACGTAAATGTGGCATTATATTACTAAATTACAATCTTATGTAAATGTGGCACAACATTTAAAAATATCAACTTGTGAAATAAAAATAAGTCAGCAGAATAAAATGAAACAAGGGGCTGCAAATGTTCAGTTTGTAAAGCCCATCTACTCTTCATTTTCCCTATTGTTTAAACTAAAGTTTTGTTCTTGATACTGCAGGGGCACCATCTGACTAGTTGTTGCATCAAAGGTAGCACGAGACTGACACGATCAGTCTTTACTGGCTGAGATGTTTATCCACTCTTGGTTGATGAAATGGTAATCCACTCTTGCTGTCTGAGATGGTAATCTACTTGTGCTGTCCGAGATGGTAATTCACTCTTATTAACTGAGATATCGATCCATTCATGCTGTCTGAGATGGTAATCCACTCATGCTGTGCGAGATAATCCGCTGAAGCTGATTTTATACTAAAATTATATCAGCTTTAACTGGCCGTGACATCCTCAACAAAGGACCCATTGTGAATCCTCTTATTCAGAGGTTTGTCTCAAGAAATGTAAGCTTTTGTTAGCAATTAATGCAGAGTTAACATCCTAACACTTGAGGCTAGCCTACAGGTGCTGTTATTGCCTCAGCACAAGATGCTGACCAAATTTTTTAGTGGAACACTGGCTACATGTTTGTGCAACAGCCTAAGTTAACCACATACTTTTTTCAAAATGAGGTTTCATTTTGCTGGTTTATTTTGTGAGAAAACATGTTCTACTCTCATATCTAGAATTAAACAACATTAATCTGTACTCTTTGTTGAAATGTGAACATCGGAACTTAACTGAGATGTGTAGTTATGTGTAACAGCATCGTTCAGCGGATAATGGTCATTCTGTGGGTAGCAGAGCCACCCCGTACTTGTCGTTTGCAAATTGTTGACATTAAATTATTTCATTACGCTTATTTTCACCGCTTTTTCTGTTCTTTCATTTCTTCGTTTTGTATATGGATTATTTTTAAACCAGTGTCTTGTCTGGCAAGAAAAGTAAAGAACTGTTTCACACCTTCGGCTCACAAGGCATACAGACCATTCAGCATGATCAACATCACGCTTGCCGCTTCTGCTTCCCTATTATCTGTACCTTCATTAGCCCTTAGAAGGGCACTTAGAAGTAGTTTTGTGGTTTACAGCTAGGCTGGGATGTCTTTGCTATTCAGCCCAGCACCTCCAACTTCAGCAAACCTCTAACCAGTCGCTTTTAATATCAAGCTTGTTAGGGGGCAGTGAGTCTTACGACCCCCAGGATGGGTCCCCAGAACCCACACAGGAAAGCTGGTACTAATTGTAGGCTAGTTTGACATGGAAGCCAGTCTTGCTCAGTATGACAGAATTTAAGCAGCACAGATTTTTTTTTTTTTTAATGTGAAACGGTTGTTACAAATTATACTGTCATCTGAACCAGTAATAGTCTCTGCTCTGATCTGAACCAGTAACAGTCTCTACTGTCATCTGAACCATTGATAGTCTCTAATATCATCTGAACCAGTAATAGTCTCTACTGTCATCTGAACCAGTAATAGCCTCTACTGTCATCTGAACCATTGATAGCCTCTACTGTCATCTGAACCAGTAATAGCCTCTACTGTCAACTGAACCAGTGACAGTCTCTACTGTCATCTGAACCATTGACAGTCTCTACTGTCATCTGAACCATTGATAGCCTCTACTGTCATCTGAACCAGGAATAGCCTCTACTGTCATCTGAACCATTGATAGCCTCTACTGTCATCTGAACCAGTAATAGCCTCTACTGTCAACTGAACCAGTAATAGTCTCTACTGTCAACTGAACCAGTGACAGTCTCTACTGTCAACTGAACCAGTGACAGTCTCTACTGTCATCTGAACCAGTAATAGCCTCTACTGTCATCTGAACCATTGATAGCCTCTACTGTCATCTGAACCAGTAATAGCCTCTACTGTCAACTGAACCAGTAATAGTCTCTACTGTCATCTGAGCCATTGATAGTCTCTACTGTCAACTGAACCCTCTTTATGGAAAGGATTCGTCACTTGAACCAGCTGAGAATTCTTTTCATACAAAAGATTCTCCTGTCTGAATCAGTTAAGAATTATTGTTACATGAGAGATTCTTTTGTCGTCTGAATTAGTTTAGAATTTTTATTATCTAAAAGACAATCTTGTCATCTGAACCAGTTTTGAATTCCTGTCATATAAATTATTCTCTTGTCACATTCGAACCACATTCAGAATGACTCCAAATGCAGATTATGCCATCATCTAAACTAGCTGTAGCTAAAAAGATTTATGTTATCTGAACTAGTTAAGAATTCTTCTGTCATAAACAGGATTCTCTAAATCGGTCTTCTTCTTAATCATCTAAGAAACTCACTGCCTGTGAACTCCGCCAGACAAGTCTGGTTGTTGGTTGTTCATTCACTCCAGGACTGTGATCTTGATCCAGAACTTGGGAGTTTTCACTATTTTACACATCTGGTTTATTTAAATTGTTAGTTCCTTGTCTTTCAGTCGCAAGTGTTAGGAAATTAACAGAACGACAGACTGGCTGGTTCTGCACCAGTGGGTGGTGAATTTATGCATGACCAGCTAGATGTGGTCAAGGCCCTTTGGGAGCAAGTGAACAGTGCACAGATAAATCATTACGGTCAGGAGAGAACAGTATAGCTGGGAGGGACATTCTACACTCAGAGGCAATCAAGACGGATATAAAATCAAACTGCTACTGGTACCATCGGAATAGAAACTCCTTGCTGACTGCTGAAGATGAGGACGGAGCACTTATGGGAATGTTCTGAGTGCTTTGAGGACAGTACTTAGCTCACACTCAGGCAGAGCTACTCTTGACTCTGAAGGAAGCACAACACCCCCCCCCCCCAATTAGTTGCCTCCTAGGACATGCTTGTTAGGGGAGTAGTGGGTGTATTCTTTGTTCTCTAAAATGGAGCCCGGGAACCCACACACAGAATAGTGGAATAATCTGAATCAGTTAATAACCAGTATCGAAAGGATTCCTGTCAACTGGACTACCTGTAGTTAAGAATCCCACCTTCACCTGAACCATACATTCTAGATTCCATGAACATCTCAACTGGTGAATGTCTCCACTTTCATCGGAACAAAGTGCAGAACTACTGCCATGTTACAGGAATCAGGTATTGATGCACCAGGTGCAAATATTCAGGCACCACATTCACTGGCATGCACCAGCAAGACATCTTGTGGGAACCTCTGTAAACAGATTGGACATTCTGCAAATGTGGCAGCTTCATCTATCAAGAGTTCGTCTGGTGATGTCCAGACTGCAGCAGCAGACCCAAGTCTGACTGGGGTACAGAAAGCTCGATGTGCGGGGATGACATCCGCTGGGTATTGACCTGGGGGATATAAGTATACAATGTCATTTTTGCGAGAAGGCATGTAGGTGTAACAGGAAAGGAACAAGGTGACAGACTTGCTGGCGGGGCTACTGCAGAGGGCGGATGAGCAATGGGCCTGACATACTAAATGCTCTACAAGAAATACATCAATCATGATGACCGAATCTGCAACTATGACCAGGCTACGAAAACAGAAGTCAGCTGAGGTCAGACAAGGGTGCTGTTCAAGAAACCAAAGAAAATAACGAGGGGATTGGGAATCTCAGCCGCTATTCAGGTGTGGAGGAGGGGGAATTCCAAGCAGTTATGGCCTGAATGGATCACTTTTCAGTGATAAAGATTTGCTGACAAACATGGAGAAAGAATATTTTCAGAAGGAGAGAGGTTTTTTAAATTTTTATTAATTCCATGTCCTTTACAGGACGTTGATAAACCAACCCCAACATAATCTGACTGCTTGTCAATTAACTAGGCTATTTGATGTTCAGTAGTTTGCCACTGCTCATGAACAGTCTGCTCTCGATACCAGTGTTGAAACCAATGCAGCTGTAATAGAACCTGGTACTTTGGCATTGGCATTATGAAGCATGTTTGCAACTCCCAAATTCGTTGACTGTGTAAATAAATATATCTAAATACACAAAAGTCGATGTTAAATTTTATGTAAAAGTGAAATTCAGAAGTATGTTGGTATTTACACAACTACATAATGGAACATTACCCACCGAAGCAACTTTCACAAATGTCCGTGTCTTGTAACAGTGTGGTAGGACTGCTCCTTGTTCTGGGGAAGTGTAACAAACTTTAGTTCATGTATTAATATCAATATTACAAAATGCAATCTTCATACCAACTTTGTGCTATCAGTGTCAGGCCTGGACACTGACTAAAGAGCACGAAAGAAAACTGACCACCTGTGAGATGAGAGATGTTTGAGAAAGGCTGTGATCAAAACTGGAAGAGATAATGTGAGAAACAAAGAAATTTTAAGAACTGTTGGAACAACAACTGTAATTGAATTCATAGAAAAACAAAGACAGATAAGGTTTGGCCATTTAATGAGAGTAAATCCAATGATGCCAGCAACAACAGCATACAATATAAAAGCAGAAACTTCAAGAGATTAAGGGATGACCAGAAAGAAAGGTGGACTGAAAGATTCACTGTTATCCTCAGATTGCACAGGGTAACCAAGCATGCCCTAGTTCAGATACACCACATCTGTTAGTCTGCAACGCCTAGCAGCACAAAGCAGAATATGGACACAAGAAAGAAAGAAAGAATATCAATATTCATTCCAGCTCTCTTTCATTATGCTTTTTTGTATGTTTATTTTTGTGCACTCGCTGTAAACTCTGACGGAAATTCTTGTTGTTCATCCACTTCTGGACTTTGTTCAGTTTGTATGTAGTTTATAATTGTATAGATTGCCTGGTGCAGGTAGTGTGGCTCAAAGGGAGTCATGGTCACATAGTAGCTAGACACTCGCCTGAAGATCTGTAACAGACTCTAAAGGCAGGCTGAGAAAGGTGAAGACAGGGATGCTTCGAGCAGAGTGGCAAGCTTCACTGGGAAAGTCACGGGTAGTGAGCATACTTTGGATCTTTTCTCCAGGCCATGCCAGCGTATTGAGTAATGAACAGGCAGACAGATGGCTGGATCTGCACCACTGGGTGAATTGGTACATGACAAGACAGATGTGGTCAAGGCCCTTGAGAACAAGCAACGGAATCAGTAGAGAAAGAAGATTATTATGGCCTGGAGAGAATGAGACACCTGGATGTAACCAGAAGGTCTGGCCAGCTGACTACACTCAGAGGAAAGGCAAGACGGACACATAACCAGATTGTGACCGGTACCGTCAGTATTGGAACTCTGTGCTGGCGGCTGAAGATGAGGACGGTGCAAGCATGGGAATGCCCCGAATGCTGTGATGTCAATTTTTGACTCAACTCAATTCGCCTGAAGATCTAGGATTCATCTACTTCTTCTTTGTGTTCTTTGACTGTAAAGAAATTCAGGTTGTTTGTGCACTTCTAGACTTTAGTCTTGCTCCAGAACTTGAGTTTTGCATGCACATCCATTTTAATCTTCTTCTCCTTTTCCATGTCCACCGGCTGTAAACTTTGGCAGAAAGTCCTGGTTGTTCATCCACTTCTGGATGACTTTGATACTGGCCCCGAACCTGAGTTTTGCTTTCACATCTGTTTTACAGATTTGGCTTAGTTGAATGCAGACTGTTGGTTCCTTGCCTCTCAGCAGATGCACTCTAACATTGAAGGAAACACCCCTAATTAGTGTACTCTTTATGTCATGCTTGTTAGGATGCAGTTGCTCTTTTCATATTACCCCAAAATGGGGATTCGGCACCAATATAGGAAGGCTTCATGATTAATAGAATGAATTCTGCTTAAAACCCCAACAGGAGATATACCCTTGCAAAGCAGAATAAAGTAAAGATATCAAATCCTGGAACAAGACCAAGATCTGTAAAACAGATATATTTACACATAAAGACAAAAGAAAACTACACATCACTAAAATTATTTTTAAAAAATACAACTGATTATTCAATTTTCTGCATCAATTATTTAAGTCACATACATAGAGTAACAATTCTTACTTTCTTCTGCTGGAATGTTCCTTTGACTTATGATCTCCTGACCTTGAACTCTGGCTAGATCTATCACTTGTATAAGTGGAGGGAACTGATACACCAGGATTCTTATTAGATTTCGTTTTTATCCACTTGTTGCCTGGTGTACTGTGAAAAGTTGGTGTAGATAATTCTGTAGCTCTCACTGACATTGTTTGACTTTTCCTGATCTTGTTTGGGGAAGGCACATACTTATCACTGTTGCAACTACCAAGATATTCCAGACAATTTTGATTCATACGAGTGTCCAGTCTGTCAACATCATGTGAGATGGGTAGCCTGTCTGATAGTTTATAAGTCTGTTGTAAGTCTGAACTGTGTTTTGTTTCACTAACATTTAATTTATTTCTGGAAGTATGCATCCGATAAATCTTCCCTTTAGCAGACTTTGGGGTTTTCTTCATCAATCCAGTTTCATTTATGTGTGATTTTAGTTTTGGAGGCGTTATTTTTCCAGAATTATTATTTACAATTTTAGCAACATTAAAAGAAGAATTGTCCACTAGTGAAATGTCCCCTTTTTCAGATTCACTATGAAATGATTCTCTCTTACTGGCTGAGGAGTCAAATTTTATATCATCAACATCACAGGTGGATTCACCATCATCATTCATAATCTCCATGCTAAACTCCTGGAATATATCAAAGCTAGCCTTGCTCAATCGCTTTAGCTTTGCTGGTTTACTGGAACTGTAAGAAACAGGAGTCTTGTCCAAGTCTATGTTCTCATAAGGTTTATTGACACCTTCTGTTGTAGGTTTATTGACACCTTCTGTTGCAGGTTTATTGACACCTTCTGTTGTAACATCTTTACGGCAAGGGCTAGGACATGGAGATACAGCTTCTGATTTGTCCATCTCATGAGCATCACCATCATAAGACAAACTTGAAATGGAATCATTGTCTTTCTCAGCATTGTCTGTACTACTATGAGAGACTGCATCACCTTTTGATCTCATCTGTTTTTCTTTGTGTGTGTGTAGATTCTGACAAGATGAAGAGAATGACATCTTTAATGACAGTTTTTGTTGTGGAGAAGATAAATCTTTTTTGGCAATATTGAGATGGTGTAAATCTTCTTTGTGCTTCTCACCAGCAAAAATCTGGCCGTCCTCAACAAATAATGAATGTGGTGGAGTTAATATTTTACTTCTATATTCATTTGCCTCAATTGAAGCTGCTACCGTTGATGATTCTTTCCAGCCACATTGATTAGAAAATGTATTCAACATGGTGAACTCTGTTGTTGGCAAAGCTGTCATGTCTTTTTGATGGACAGGTTCTGTTTTCTTTACCTGTGAAGTTCTTTTTCTGATGGGAGTCTTTTGTATCATTCCATCTGAACTTGTTTTTATTGGTTCATTAGATAGTTTGCTAGAGATTGTTTTTGTTGCTGGTAAGTCACTTTGAACTTTTGACCCTAAAATTTTGTTTGATTACATCTGCATTCTATCTCTGCTTCCATTATGATATTATGCTACCTAGATACTGAAGTAACTTGGCACTGACCATGAGAAAGTTCAAGCAAGCAAAATCCACATAAAACTGCTGAGCATGCCTTATAAGGCTGCCAAGATTTTGCCAGTCAGAGAGAAGAAATACAGACAGCAGCAGTGACCCTACAGGACAGTTATGAGAAACTTGTAAGGACCTCAAAGACCTATTTGCGACCCATGCCAGAACAGTTGAGTCAAATTTTGCTTACTAAAGAAGATTAACAACAACATGTGCCTCTCACCTGCTATAGTCACCTTATCTATGTCTGCTGCTGTTACATTCAATGTCTGCAAAAAACTTTTCATTTCCTCCGTGACCTGTCATATGAATATATAAAAAATATTTTAAATGGACAACTGGGAATTATAAATAATCAACTGTAACCAGGGCAGATCTTGGGTCATTGATTACCAACAATGCGACACAATGAAAGAAAGAAATTAAACGACAACTATCAATTGCTCTTTAAAGACTAAAACAACTAAACAAATTATGGGTACAGCATGTGGCGGATGATCTCCAGATGGGTTTATCGGACGCGGGACATTTTGCTTGTGATCGAGAAGTTTTCTGGAAGGTTGTTATGGGGCAAGCTTCTGCAAAAGACACGTTACTGACTGACTGACTGACTGACTGACTGACTGACTGACTGACCCTAGGCAGAGGTAAATCTTGATGTAAGGATTAAAATTGATCCCCCCTAATATATATATATAAATATATATATATATATATATATATATATATATATATATATATATATATATATATATATATATATATAGGTTCTAGGTTCTAGGGCTATAGTATGGGTGGGAGGGGAGGAGACTCACTGCCCTTTAGCTTATATAAGGTCAATGGAAACTAATTATGGGTTTACAGAAATTGGATGTGATGGGCCAAAAAAGAGAAGATATCACAAAAACGGAAAGAGAGGAAAAGAGACCCAGTTGGGGGGGGGAGAAGGAACAGACAGACACACATATACAGACACAACAAACATACACTCACAGAAGGAGGAGAGGAGGGATAGCAATGGTTGTGTTACTAAACTCACTTTGTTGTTCAACTGTGTCAGGCGTCGGAGGTGTGATCGCCGATCGTGAAGGTCGTGTTGAGTTTAGCACACAACACAATATAAGAAGAAAAATGATGGAAGGAGACACTGAAATCGAAAAAAGATATCTGAGAAATGCAAGAGAGAGATTGGAAACAGGACAGTGGCATAAGTAAAAAAAAAAAAAGTAAAGATCCTTTTTCATGCCTTTAGGCGCATTGGGCATATGGGAAGAGCACCCATATTTTTACAGACCATTCTGCACTAGGTGGCCAGGACAGTGGCATAGGGCAAGATAAATAGAAGAGAAGGGAGGAATAGATAATGACCCAATATACAAGGGAACAAAACATAAAAAAGACAAGACAGGAGGAAAATGTGGAGAAAAGCATACATTCCTGTGTACTCACAGGCAGGTCATTCTTCTTAGGCCACATGCTCAGAAAACAAGCCCTTTCTAGGGACAGGAGAAACCCGCTGTGGACTGTACGACTTCTGATTCTCCGACGCCTTCAACACCAGTTTGGCAGTTCTGGACAGACCTTGTTCTTGCTCACATCCATTCTCTGTGGAGCCGGCCATCTTCATTAGTCTGTACTTGAGCCTGTCTGTTGGGCTGCAGAAGTGGACAATAAAGGTGGCTGAAGTGTATGTAACTCTGTGCTGCTGTGTAGTAAGGAGGCATAGACAGACAGAAAGTAACAAATTAGAAAACTGAATAGTTATAGAAATGTGGATAAACAAAGGAATAAGCTGCATTGCACGGATACTTCTTCCTGGTGTCCACCAGTTGGGAACTCCGGTGGAAAGTTCTGGCTGTTCATCCACTTCTGGACTTTAGTCTTGTTCCAGAACTCGATTTTGTTTGTTCATACGTTTTACAGATTTGATTATTTGTACGCATACTGTCAATTCCTTGCATCTCAGGCAGATGCACTCTGCCTTAGGAGGAAAAATCCCTAATTATTTAATATTTTTTGACAGGCTTTGTGGATCTAATCCTCTTCCTTAAAATGGGGACCCAGAAACCACAAGGTGAAAGGCACAGAAACAAAATCAAGACATTTGGAAGAAACAATCATATTTTGGCCACAGTGAAGGGCACAACATCTACACACACACAAAAATTACTAGAAGAGAAGTGGAAGGCAAGTGAGCAAGAGATAGAGATAAAGATATAAGTGGGGATCTAACGTTATCAGATGGAAGTACAGCAGTCTACGAGAGTGTACGATCAGGGTGAGAGACAAAGAGGGCTGGAGATCCATTACAGCTAACCTTCACAGAGGAGATGGCACATGACTAACAGTTATGCAGAAACTGTTTCTCATTTACTTCCTCTTTTATCACTTTAGGTGTCAAGGAAGATGTAAGTTTTTGCTTCTTGCTTTTCTGGTCGCTTCAACCATAGACACATCGTGCTATTCTAGAATTTCTCTGATGTTTTCTTTCCATGTTGTTCTTGGTCTACCTTGTGCTCTACATCTTTCTCCTCTTTCGGTGTATACCTTGTGATGTACAGTGTCACAAGGTATTCTCTCTAAGTTGGCAAACCATTTGATTTACTGTCTTTGTATGTAATTTAGAATTGATTTTGTGCCGACTGGTAGGTATGTCATTACATCTACACCCCAGACTGAAAAGTAATATAAATATCAAAACTGTTATCTACAACTTACCTGTCAACTGTTTTGTTCATATCACCGAAGAAATGTTTCTGGATGGATGAAGTGTTGATCGCAGACTTGCTTAATGGACTAGCACCACTGACTGAAGGAGATGAAATCCCAGGTGGCGCCACCATAACGGCATCTCTGATGTGAATAAATGATAAACCCAGCTGAACATCTCGGCGATGGGGTTGTCGGCATATTATGTGCAGCCTATCCCAGAGTTCCACATGCTGTTTCCTGAGTAAAATCTTCTGTAAAAAAGGGTATAAAATACAAATACATGACATTCATTTGTAGCGCAGAACTGTTTCAGTCTGACTTCATTCCTTGACATAAAAAAAGGACCTTTTTCCATGCACGCCATTAGGTGTTCAGGTCATACAGTAACAGACTTTTATTTGTATATACCAATTGGCACGTGGTGGGTGCTGTGGACCACATCACGCAGACTGCTTTTACCTCTCATGACTTTATCTGGTACCCATTGCCAAGCCAAGTCCATTTTTGAAAAAAGAAATCTTAGCTTGATGAGGATTTGAACCTACAACCCTTGGGCAAAAGAAGAGTGTCTAGCCTTTACTCCACTGTAGCTTCTATACAGATATATACTATTCATATTGTGTTCGAGGGTAAGTTTCAAAATGTCTAAATTCTTCCAGAACAGCGTACTGTACGGTCAAATCTATATCCTCTGCTGCCGCAAGGTTTTTTTTTTTAAACCACACATAATCGAATCCAATATTCTTCTTGTCTGAGAAGTGTGCTACCAAACGAACAAGTTAGAGTGTGACATCATTATTTTATATTAACTAAACAAATTATTCAGAAAATAATGTCTTCAAGTGGATTCAAATGACAACTTTAACATGCAGAGACTAATTTGAAGTTGAAGCCAGTAGAACCAATACCCCCCCCCCCCCCCCCCCCCCCAAGAAAAAAAATGCTTCTAGAACAAATTAAGATTAATATTATTATAAATAAATAACATTAAAGAATAATTTTTTAAAAGTACTATACAGTAAAGTACTATACTATTCTATACTATACTATACTATACTATACTATACTATACTATACTATACTATACTATACTATACTATACTATACTATACTATACTATACTATACTATACTATACTATACTATACTATACTATACAAAACAACAACAAAAAAAAAAAAGTCTTACAGAATTACACAAAAGATAAAAACTGTATTAAACAAATAGTATTAAGCAGTAAAAGGGAACCGCATGGCGTCGCTGCTAGAGGCTCACCTGCGGATTGGAAGGTCGTGGGTCAAGGTCCTGGAGGAGCCAGGCTTTTTTTTTTGCAAAACTTCCCCCAGGTTGACCCAGCTTTAAAATGGTACCAGGTAAAGTCCTGAGAAGTCAAGCCAGCTGGCGTGATGCCGACCACATCACCCACGGTGTGCTAAATGGTCTATATAATATCGTTTAGCCCTATATGCCCAATACGCCTGAGGTGGGGAAAAGGGTGTTTACTTTAATATTACGGAGTAAAAACATAGCAAAAAAAAAAAACAGTATTAAACAAAAATAAATAGTATTAAATATTGAAATCAAAATTAACAACATAAGGAATAACAACAATTGAATGTTGAATTAAGAATCAACATCACAGCACTCCTGACACTCCTATAAGTGCTTAGTCCCTATCTTCAGCAGCAATCAAAGACTTCCAATTCTGATGGTTAAGTGCTGAGTGTCGGTCAGATCCCTTGGTAACTCCCCACAGAACCATTCTCCTTAGACCGTAATGATCTATCTGTGCCTCTGCACTGTTCACTCACTCTTAAAGGGCCCTTACAATATCTAACTTGTCATACATCAATTCACCACCAAGTGGTGCAGAGCCAGCCAGTCTATGAATATCAACAACAGAAAACAGACTTACTCTTAGAAAACATCTGCGTGCTCTTAAATCCACGACTTAATCTGCAGTCTAATGGGGACATTAACATGTAGGTTGGTATAAGTAATTTGTATTCTTGTGTCTGCGGCCAGTCTGATCGCCCAACTCGTACTTCCAGAGTCGCACACCAAACCGCACCTAAAAGTAAAGTACAAAAACAGTTCTTTCTCATCTCATCTCACCTCGATTCTCTTATACCTTGCGGTGTCAATGTGAAGTAAAATTCATAGGAAAGTGTCAGTTTGTGTGTTATGTAAATGGGGATTCCCAGGACTCTGTTATTCCCTCTGCCCACTGTTTGCATGGTCAGCCTCTGCTTCCCTTCCTGCCTGATCTGTACATCGTTGCTTGTCGTAGTATATAATCTTTGTTGGAATCCATGTTACATGCCCAAACTATTTCACTAGCTGTTTTCTAACAAAATCCAGAGCAGCAGCTACCCATATTTTTTTTTTGATTTCATTGTTTCTGATCGTATCTCTTTTTGTTATTTTAAGAGCCCTTCGCAAGAATCTCATCTCTTGCAGTATTTTTTTTTCTGCCGTCATTTAACTTACTCTGTATAGAATTTGTTAGTGTTTTAGATAAAAAATTGATTTTGTGTTGATTTGATTGTGTGACATGTGTAAAAATGTTTTTTATAACGAATTCTCTTTATTCAGGAATATCCTAAAATTTGAAAGTATGTGAGCTTGGCTTTATTTTTTTTTTCTAGGTCATTGTGGTGAAAGGATTTATGTTATTTGTGTGTGTGTGTTTTTTTTAACCCAGCTGTGTAAATTTTCCACGTACACCTTAACCTGGTCTACGTCAGTCTTTTTTGTCTAACATAAGACTGATTTTCTACTCTACCATTTCCCCTGATATGCCCCATAAATTTCATTTGCCTTTTCCTTTAGTTTCTCTTTTAACTATGTCACCCTGAGAAAGCAAGATTTTCTACTTTCACAGGTTTCTGATGGCATTACGTTTTTGCTGGCATATTACGCTATATCTTGTCAGTTGCATTTATTATTACAGTTACATCAACACAAAATGAAGCACACAGAATGAATCATTTTCAATGAAATACACTAAACAATTAAATGCACTGTAAACTCTTTTCCCAGGAAATTTAAGATTAGCCACATTTTCATGACAATTTTTAATTGTCCACACACTATTTTTCTTTACACAAAGCAAGTGTTCATTTTTATTGTTACAGCTTCTGCTAGTTTTAGTACACGTCTATACAGTGTGTGGTTGTTGTGTTATCAATCCAGCAGCGCATGAGCTTTTGATCTTTGGCCCAATGGCATGTAGTGAATTTGCATGTTTTCACAAGCTGTTCCTTTTATACAAATGTGTTCCACTTTTCTGGTCTCGGACGGAGTAGCATTCTTCTAGTCTCGCAGAGTTTACAGTAAATAGTGTGGTAAATAACTCTGAGGCATAGTCCTTACAAAATGATCATCACCTTCGGTTACATGTTATCTGAAACTAATTTCATGTGTGGATTTTTTTTTTAAAGTCAGGAAGAATGACTACACTACAAATAAAATATCTGGTTAGTCAAAAAATTTGTTTCCATCAAAAGGCCATAGAAGTCAAACAAAGGAATTCCCCCTGTGGGTTACTGGAGCACCATTGTGGGGAGAACAAGAAAATGTCTACCCAACAAGCATGTCATAAGAGTCGACTAATTAGGAGCTTCCTTTGAAGTCGGAGTACATCTGCCTGACAGGCATGGAACCAACAGTCAGCATGCAAATGAGTCAGACTTGTAAAATGGATGTGAACACAACACTCAGTTTCTCGAACAGGACTAGAGTCCAGAAGTAGACAAACACACAGAATTTTTTATCAGTGTTTACAGCCCGTAAACGTGAAGAAGAAGAAGAAACAAAAGAATGACCAGATTTCTTAAAGTGCACTTAAGTTTCATTTAACAGCAAAGTTAAAGCCAGTCAGTAACAACAATTAACACAAGAATTAGGTTTATTCTAAAAATTAACAATTGCTGCATTTCTCTTGAAATAAATGTTAACAATTTTTAAGATTAATTTTACTTACTTTTCTGAGTCGCTCCTCCTCTACCTTGGAGTGTAGAGGTTTGCCAGAGAGATTGCTTGACTTCTTTATCAGCAGTTTTCTTTTTAGCTTTGTTCCATTCCAGTCCTCTATCGCGACAGTTTAAGAGCCTGTTGAATGTTGTCTTTCCAGCGGACCCTGGGTTGCCCTAGAGGTTTGGTTCCCTGGTTCTAAGCCTCCCATGCCTGCCAATTTTTCTCCCATTCTGCATACATGTCCAAACCATCGTGACTGTGACTGATCCACTCGGGTTTGTAAGAACTGGGTATCAAGATCTTGACGTATTGTCTGACTTTGTCCCTTTGTGTCACCTTGACCATCTTTCTCAGATATCTCATTTCTGAGGCCTGAAGCTGGCTTCTGTGAGCTGTTGTCATTTCCCATGACTCACACCCATAGGTCAGGACTGGCACAAAGCTAGAGCGGTAAACAGTCACTTTCGTCCTCTTGCCAATTTACCTTTTACTAAGAAACCCTGGGTTTATGGCCTGGAAGAGTCTTCCAGCAGCTGCTTTTCATGTAGCCAGCTCAGTCTTAACGCCTCCATTTCAGTCTATTTCAACTCCAAGGTATTTTAACTGACTGACCTGCTCCAATGCATACTGTCCCATCATGATCTGGTGTTTCTTCTCCTCTCTTGAGATCACCATGGTTTTAGTTTTGGAGATACTGATGTTCACCTATCTCTTTTCATGCTCTTCCTTCCAGACAAGCAAGTTGGACTGAAGATCTGCCTCTGATTTAGCTATCAGGGCCACATCATCTGAAAATGCCAGCTTTGATATACAGATTGGTCTCATCTTCCAGTACCCTACTGAGTACTTCTTTATCTTCTTCTTACAGGTCTTGATGACATCATCCATCCTAAGAATGAATTTGAGGTTCATTCTGAACTTTTAATTTCTGTATTTAAGTCCAAACAAGTTAATGAGGTACATTCTGAAACACAACAACTGCTGTATTCTTCTTCTTCTTCACCGGCTGTCAACTCTGGCAGAAAGTTCAACAGAAAGTTGACAGATCTGACTCATTTGTGTGCACACTGTTGGTTCCCTGCCACTCAGGCAGATGCACTCAGACTTCAAAGGAAGCTCCCAATTAGTCGACTCTTACGACATGCTTTTGGGTAGGCAGTGGGTATATTCTAGTTTTCCCTATAACAGGGCCCTGGAACCCACACGGGGAACTGCTTTTTTTTATCTACAAAGTTAACAATCCATGTTAGCGCACACAAACCTATATCAAGATACGCCAGCTGACAGGGTTTCTCCAACTGCAGGATAACTTCAGATTTTCCGCTGGTGTCTTTTCTGTTCGACAGCCAAACCTTTGAACCGTCGCTGGCAATAAGATTGCTTGCTTTGTGACAATCATCCTGGAGATTTTTAAAGCAAAAAGCATTTAGACTAAACACTATATATAAAACATGTGTGTAAATACTTGATGAAAAGGAGAAAGAGAAATCTCTGAAGCAGAAGCAGTTCTATTCTTTATTCTTTCAAAGTTTCTGTATGCAGATTATATGCAGTTATATTCCTGTGTGAGTTCCAGGGCTCCTTTATGGGGAAAACAAGAAAAGAACCGCTGCCTTCCCAGCAAGCTTGTCGTAGGAGTCAACTAACTGAGAACTTATTTTGAAGTCGGAGTGCATCTGCCCATGAGGCAAGGAACATCCAACTGCACACAAACAAGCAGGTAAAGTGGATGTACACGCAAAACTCAGGCCCTGGCACAAAGCTAAATTTCAAATGGACGAACAACCAGGACTTTCTGCCGGAGCTTACACTCTGGTGAACAAAGAAGGAGAAGAGGAAATATGCATTTATTACAGCTGTTAAAATACCACTGTTAACTGCAGCTAAATTTAGCAATCGTTTTTCTTTCAAAGTGTTTTCAAAGGTCATTTTAAGGCAGTTTGCCTTTTTCTTTTTCAAGGTTCCTGGACAATGTTTACAAGATTTTTCAACAAGACTGTCTTTCAGTCTCAGTTGCTTTAGCGTTAAAGTTAGGGCACAAATAATGTGAGTCTCTGTAAAAAATTTACAGTGTGAAAAGTTCATAAGAACTGGAAAAAATATGTAAAACTCCAACTTGGAAAGGTGAATTTGTAACTTTCAGCACTAAAGAGTTGGTACTATAACACTACGCATCCCAAATTCAGTGTATGTTAGAAAGACAATATTTCAGTCTAACAAAGTAAAAATATGGGACAGGCAGCAGATTATGCCTATCCTTTTGTAGGTGTGCTCGAAGACCACAGTGTGTCCTGTCCGAAGTCTAAAAATTGTTGTTTGTTCTTTCCTGTTGAGTTTGTTTATGGGACGGACCATCATAAATGACCACATGAAGAGAATATGCTCAGAAGAATGTGCAGTGTATGGGGCTATCAATAAATGTATGGTGTGTTGCCAGGTACTGAATGAGTTAACTGTAATAAACAGCTAAATAAAAATCAGACATTGCAGAGTCGACTTTTCAACCCTGCAACAATAAGTTAAGGGCCCTTTTTCACGCTTTTATGTGTGGTGGGCATATAGGGCTAAACCTATATTTTATAGACCAATCAGCACTCAGTGGGTGAGGTGGCCAGCATCAAGTCAACCGCTTTTACTTCCCAAAACTTTACCTGGTACTCACTAAATGCTGCGGGACTTGGGAGCGCCCCTAAGCATGTCGTAAAAGTAAAATGTGACTAATTATAAATTAGGGGTTTGCTGAAATCAGATATGATGGTCAATAGGCATGGACATCACAGCCTAGCTGTAAACCACAATACATAGTACCAATCACCCCAATATCAGAAGAAGAAGCTATTGATTGGGTTTACAGTTTACTTTTCTCAGCTCAAAACAGTACCATCTTTTTTTTAAATGTTTTTAAATACAGAGGAACTTTTAAAAAGAATAGTTATTTTGTCATGTTACCCTAACAGTTCTTACTTACTTACTTAGTCGCTCCTCTTCTACCTTGGGGTGTAGAGGTTTGCCAGAGAGATCGCCAGACGTCTCTATCAGCAGTTTTCCCTAACAGTTCTGTGTTCTCATTTCCTTTCAAATATGCCATTTCCCTAGTGATTAATGTTTCCCAGAACTATTCTGAATCAATACAGGAACCTCATAAACTGGCGTCGTGAGTCACGGATAGTGATTTAATTTAGCAGCAGAAGAATGAAGCAAAAGCTGCTTTGAAAGCAGAAGAGTCGGTCACCGTAACTGCAACCCTCTATTTTATTAAAATCACATTAACTTATTATGGGGAGTTGCCGTGGCCAAGCGGCTAGACGCTCATCGCGGATCGGAAGGTCGTGGGTTTGCTCCCTGGCAGAGCTGGACTATTTTCAAAAATGACCTTGGCTCCCAGGTTGATCCAGTCTTGAGTGGGTACCGGGTGCAGTCCCGGGAAGTAAAGGCGGCCGGCGTGAGGCTGACCACATCCCCCATCTTGTGCTGATTGGCCTATAAAAGTATAGGTCTAGCCCTATATGCCTAAATGCGTGGAAAAGGGTCCTTTACTTTTTTTTACTATACTATTAACTTTTTACACAAAACTCTAAAGTGCACAATTAAGGCAAATCGAGGAAGATTAAGAGTCTCATTATTGGGTTTATGTAACTGTTGTTACGCTCTTAAAGGCAAGAGCAAAGTGTCCCTGCCTCTCTGTCGGCAAAACCGCAATCCACCTGTCTGAGTGGGTGAGACTGACTTGACTAACACTGTTTAGTAACAGTAATTAATATTAAATAACACACACAGAGATGTAGCACTGTGCGAAAAACTTGGGCCAGAACCATGGACAAGCAAGCCAGAGAAGAGAAATGTAGTCCTAAAGGTACCAGGGATCACTTCAAAAGATGCTCAGACGGAGACACAACAGAGAACCCTAGCTCTTGCTATGCTTGACGAGAAGTATCTCAACACCACTTGAACTCAGGTTTTCACCGACGCCTCTGCTATAGATGCAGTCAGAAAGGGGTGTTGTGGAATATACATTAAACCAGTAGAGCAGAAACTCTCTCTCTCTACAAGCAGGTGACATCTGCACTAACTTCAGAGCTGAGGCAACTGCCCTCCTTTCTGCAGTCCAACATCTCATCACTCAAGAACACAGAGGGCACAAAATTGTTATTCTTAGTTAGTGATTTATTGTCTGTTCTCCAAGCACTATCGAGCAAAAAACAAGACAAACTAATTGCAGATCTAAGGACCAACATTGGCTTACTTTCCAAGGAAGCAGAACTGGTCTTGCAGTGGATACCAGCCCACTGTGCTATTCAAGGAAATGAGAGAGCAGATGAGTTGGCAAAAGCTGGGAGTAATCTTCCACAACCTCATCCACCACACAGCTACAACTACAAGGAAACCAAAACAGCGCTAAAGCAGTCTTTTAAGCGGGAGTGGAGAAAGCAGATTGGAGATTACAGACCAGAGAGTGACAGCATAAACAAACTCAACAGGAAAGAACAAACAACAATTTTTAGACTTCGGACTGGACCCTGAGGTCTTCGAGCACATCTGTGGCTAACTAATCATACTAATGTCGAACGCAGAAGAAGAACACACACAGTGACTGACAGTACTAGTCATTCAAAGCGGTAATTTTGCCTAAAATTTGCTGTCACTGATTTTTAAAAAATAACAACTTCTTATACAAATGACAGTGTTCATCGACAGATCATTAAGTTTCTACAATGACCCAGAAAACAAACAAACCTGTGAAGAAAAAGACACGATAAACTTAATGTTTACAGGCGCCATTATATTTCCCCGGCAAAAATTGTAAAAAAGTACGACGTTCCCAAATGAAACAATTTTTTCTTTTCTGTAGTCATAAGTGTCCGTGAGTACCGCTTTTTGGTGTAGGCAGGGTTCTTTAATCCTGAGGATTTAGGATCGCATGGCTAGGCTGTCGCCAAAGATTGCGCGTGTTGGAATTTGTGTGTGTGTGTGTGCTCCTGACACGTGAGCCTAACCGAGGATTTGAACCTAGGTCTTTTCTTCCGTAACTACCACATTGGACCATGAATGCAGGGACTGGCCAGCTGGCGTTGCAGAATTAGAAGTTCAGCAAATAATTATCATGACCATCTATTCCCGCCCAGGCAGTGTGATTATATATACAGATGACGGCGTTGAGAGGCAAGAGAAGTTCATAATAAAAGCGAACGGACGTCGTTGAGTGCAACAAAGCCTGGCAAATGATGCCAATACAGCATCACTTTTGAGATTGGAGGTGGAGGCAGCCCCTACAAAATTCCGCTGGCTTGTTAACCAGCTGCATACACACGATTCTGGCTGAGTCACAGAGCATGTTGCGGATAAAAGTGTTACGATTTGGGAAAAAGAACAGTCTGCACACACAATTAAGTTAGATCTGTAAAACGGACGTGCACGCAAAACTAAATTTACGGAACAAGACTGATATCCAGAAATTGAAGAACAGCCGGAACTTTCCGCCCGAGTTTACAGACTGCGAAACGCTAATAAGAATAAGTTCAATCCGAAAACGCGTGGAAATTTATTATCACGTGCCTCTTGTTCTTTGCAACTGTCTCAGTTTGTCATATCTGTACCCCAGTCAGAAGCATGCCTTGTGTGAGGTTTTACCTCGATGTTTTCTTCTTTTTCACTGCAGTATTGAACACCCATGTTTCATATGTGACCTAATCAAGATGCTATCTGATGTTGGTAATCAAAATGTTCACAACCTTCTTTCTTGTGCACTGTCAACTCTTTCTGCTACACATGTTATAACAGTTGACGTCACTACATTAGACCTTCTCATGTGTGCTCAGTCCTTCCATGCAGCAGCCACTCCAAGGTACTTCTTATTGTTCCCATGAGACATTGGTTATAGTGTTTCTATCTCGGTCTTGAAGCTTGGTTTGCCATTGGGTGAGAGTGTTATGTTCCACTGGAGGGATAAGAGGGGAGGGGGACTAAACGTGTTAATTTATATTCTTTGGCAATGGATAACAAAAGCGAGGGTCTATTTCTTCTTCTTTGCATTCACTGGCTATAAACTCCAGTGGAAAGTTGTTTATCCACTTCTGGACTTTTGTCTTGTTCCTTGTCTCTCAAGCAGATGCACTTTGTCTTCAAAGGAAACACCCCCAGTTAGTCACCTTGTACGACATGCTTGGAAGGAGGACAAAAGGTCCCCCCCCCCCCCCCCCCCCCAAGGAACTCCTGAACCCACAAATGAGTCTATTTCACCACTGTACTGTCTTATATATGTATAGAGACATCTTATTCAAAGCATATTTATTTCATCTCTGCGCTACCAGTGCCAGACATGGTCACTCACAACAAACCATAAAAGAAAATTAGTAACCATGGAAATGAGATGTCTGAGAAGGGCTGTATCAGTGACCATACGAGATAAGATCAGGAATGAGATCATAAGAGAAAAAGTCGGCACATAACCAATTCTAGATTACACACGAAGACAGCAAGTGAAATGGTTTGCCCACTTAGAGAGAATGCCTTGTGACACCATTCCATGCAAAGCATACATGGAAAGAGAAGGACGTAGAGCACGAGGTAGACCAAGAACAAGATGGAAGGATAACATCAGAGAAACTCTACAACAGCACGATGTGCCTTTGGTCGAGGCGGCCAGAAGAGCTAGAAACAGAACCTTATATCTCGGCCGACACCCACAGCGGTAAAAAAGGAAGTGAAGAAGAAGAAGACTGTCTTATATTCTAGCTCACCGTTGGTTAGCTCCAAAGACTTACACAAAGGTTGGATTCCAGTGACAACCTCCAGGATCGACTGCCCTCAGCAACCAACAGACAATATGCCAACAAACCCAAGAATATCAGAGCTTAACCACTTTTATCTTATTTTGTGCATTAGTGGAAAAGTACAATGCTGAACTTTACATATGCTGCTTGAGGTTTGTGAGGATTATCACCACAGCACTCCTGACAGATCCACAGCTGCTTTAAACTTTTCAAAAGCTCCACGGGCGTGAAACAACTGACGTCTGTTCTGTGTTAATTAATCAAACGTCTTGTCCCCTTCGTAAACTGTTTATTTCTTGCAGCTCCAGACTGCATCCCTTTTCCATCAGCCCAGTTAGGGATACAGAGTCATGCCCTTTGTAGTATTTATCTTCCCGGTAAGTGCTGCGCGAGGCATCACTTGTGTCCGGGCCGCACCAGCAACAGCAGTGGGCTGCTTGTCTTTCGGTAAGAAGTCTTAGTAAAAAGTCACCAACTCTTATATGACTGACTTTATTCCTTTCCTTTGAATATTTGCAGACACTGTGTGTCTAGGACACTCAACTCCCACTGTATATTATTTTTTAAACAAAATATTTAAAAAAAAACAATCACAACTCCACACATACAAATGAAAACTTTAATGAAAAAGAAATACACATGTATAATACACCTATAGTAAAATTCTAATAGGTTTAATACTTGAATTTAATAAATGCCGCCTGGGTTATATTCTAATACTTGTAATAAAACATGTTAATACAAAACAGCCTGGGACAAACCTAACACAAGTCATACATTCTGTACACACCATCTCTCCACAACCCAGGGTTGTCAACACCCAAGACAAACTAGTAAATATAGTGTGCACTTAAGAAGTGACTTCTAAATGTATCTGCTATACAACATAATTAGAGTCCATACATCAAGTGTCTTACTTTCCTATACAGCTAATCTAGACATGATGTCAAGAGCATTTTGCAGGACTCTTCTTCATCACATGTATTTAATGTGCTTTTTCTCAGACGCTCAGCTCTGAGCCTGTCAGCGATTATTTGTTCATTTTACTCTTATTCAATTCCTGGACACAGCCCCCCCCCCCCCCAAAACCCTAATTCAATACATGTATCATTCATGTCACATTTGCACGCATCTTTATTTCACAGTAAAGGATAACCTGTAATTTTAGTAATAAAGCAAAGGACTTCCAGCCTTCAGGCTCATTAGGCATATAGGGCTAGACCTATATTTTATAGACCAATCGGCACTCGATGGATGATGTGGTCAGCATCACGCCTGCCACCTTTACTTTCCAGGATGGTACCTGGTCCCCACTTTCGGCTGGGTCGACCTGGCAGCCAAGGTCCTATATTTTTAAAGACAATTTCAACACAGTCAGGACCTGAACCCACGACCTTTGGATCCACAGGCAAGCTAAAATCTGCTACACCACGGCGGCTCCCACCTCTAATTCTATCCATCTGCCATTCACCATAGAGGATGTTTTCAGAACATTCCAAATGTGACGTAACTATCAATTCAATATTATTAATACAGTACACACCTGATGAGAACTCACCAGGGACCCAAGAAAATTATTCTTCTGATCAGAAATTCCCCTTATCTGGATAAAATTCCAAGCAAGAAGAATTGCAGGAGAAAACTAAATTGTTCTTCACACACACAAAAATTTGCCACAACCAAGATCACCTTAAGTGATCTACACTGTATTTCTTATTTAGACGCGATTTGGAAAGTTAGCTAAATGGATTTTTTTTAATGTCATTACATACCAGGTCATATTGCACATACAATATTTAATATAAAATAAACACATATCTAGAAAGATAAATAGTATGAGACAGAATAATACATAATATACTTCATTATAAAGGTTTGTTGGCAAAGGCACTCAATAGAAAAGGCAAAATTCGATCAGAAACAGAAAATGAAACAAATTAAGGTAAAGATTATCCTCTCCAAACTCTGTTCAATTTTGCAATGCCCCACCCTGCTGTCATCTTATTCTTTACAAAAGAGTTATATGAAAAAAATGTATCCAAAGTTTATTCATTACAGAAGACACAACCAAAGAAGTAGTCAAGTAAATCAAGAACCCCAGTTCCCACCAAGAGAGGTACATTGTGGTCGTCAGTCACTGTCCCAACTTCACAGCAAATAAGTCACAGTATAATCATTAAGTTTTGTGCCAGTGAAAACCACATATAAAATTATTACTGTCCACGTGTAAAGTTAAACAGACAGCAGCCTTGCAAAATCCAATAGCTTACATATAACATGCCTAAGGCGGCTGGCTGCCAGAGATCCTGTCATCAAGTATGTCACTAGAGCTGCAGTTCATAGTTGCTGGAACCATCAGCCATGACAAACCAACAGGTGTAAATGTATTACCGCATAAGGCAATTCTGTGGCAACAAGCCACTAGTCAATTTCTGAATATGCATTTCATAGTGTATCTGGTGCTAACCCCTATTTTCCCAAACAAACTGGAACTCAGCAGGTAAAAGAGTCGTACCGCTGGTCATTTTTACTTCTCTGATAATTTCCCAGTGACCATTTTAGGCTGCGTCAACATTTAAAAAAAAACCATGCCTTATCTCTTTTGGTGGCATAAAGTTTTGTACAAAAATAATTATGTTTTACACATTGGCAGGAAAACGCTAATTACTTACTGTGTTGTATGAAGGAAAAATGAAAGATACCATGTGGTTGCCAGATTTATTTAGTATGAACTGACCAAACTCAAGATACAAGAATATACTTGATGTGATGTTTGAGACTGTGGGAAATAGTCGGACAACACCATGTGTTCAGTAAAACATTGCGTTTTGATTAGGCCTGAAGGAGTTAAAGGGGATTTGAATTCATGGCCACCAGGATAGTATGCAAGCAAGCTAGTTAACCACTGCACCAAAATGGCTCATAACCAAAGAGGCACACCATACACAAAATGTAAGGCACAGAAACACACGGGTACCCACATAAATCATACCCAATGTAGCAATCTGTGAATATCATGTCTATATATGTAATAAGTACATGGCCACAATTACAACCAGCTGTCACAACCTGTAATGCTGCACAACCAACAGATATAACTGTGAATGTTATACATTTGATAAAGAAAGCAGCAAGACAGCCAGCAGGAAGTTTTGAGAACAGATAGACAAGTCGATGTTACAATATTTCATAAAATCAATGTATGTGAGAACATTTAAATCATCAGCATGTAAAATTATAACATTTCATACGCTGTTGCTACAAACGTGTTTTTATAACAGCTGTTTAATTTATCAGAGTCATTTATGATAATGTTGGCTTTGTATATCTTGATAAGGCTGGATAACTTTACCCATAGTGAACATTTCTACTGAAAATGACCTTTACTGGACACTAGCTGTTAGGCTACTCTTTTCAATTTCCAACTGCCAAGGGATTTTTTACGTGTGCAACAATGCACACAGGGCATTTGATCTCACTACCCAGAGACCAGGAGGAATTACTAGAAGTCCAAGTCCACGTGAAAATAATCCCAGCCCTTACCGGGGATTGAACCTGAAAACTCTAGAACTCGAGCGGACACTATGCCCCCCCCCCCCCCCCCAGCTTTTGCAGATACCAGGAAGCTAATACTTTCAATAATACCAGGTCTCAAATAAAAACATTGCATAGAACACAACAACAGTTGATGAATACTTGCAGGTACTGAGCACAGTATTGAGCAAGATTGTGAGAACCACTAACAAATATTACACAGAAAAAAAAGGGGCACTGCCCTATGATGTATGTACAATAAACAATGAATTTGTACACAGTATCCCATACGCTTCCTTCCCTGCTGAAGAGAACACAAATAAGCACGCCTGGAGTTAAGCTTATAATAGCGCTAGTGACACGTTTATTTCTTTTGTGTATGGAAACTTTTGGGACACCCTGTTTTTTTTTTAAAATCCTGCGGTGAAACAAGCACATACAAAAAGGCATACATACCTGATAAGGACCTCATGCCAAGCAAACAGAAATCACAGAAGATAAGGTATGAACATGTATGAGTTTTTCCTCAAAACCTTAGTACATAAATTTTGTTTAAACATTTGGTATCGTATCGTGCTACATTCAGGAGCTTTCTTGCATGTATAACAATTTCATAATAAAAGATGTAATCTCATGGAGTTAATACTGGGAACAGCTGAAATATCATATGCAATAATAACTAATTTAATACTTAAATAAAATAATTTAAAAGCTGTCATAATTATAACATTTAATACCACTAGATCTATACAAGTCCAGGAATTCACTGACGTTAACAAATCTAAATGTACAGACTGTTAGTTCATCGCCTCTTAGACAGATGCATACAGACTTCAAAGGAAACACCCTGATTTGTTGAATTTTACAACACGCTTGTTAGTGGTCGCTGGATCTATCCCCCCCCCCCACCAACAATAACCGGAACCATATATGTTCAGGTAATTCCTTCACTGACGTTTCGATGTTACTGTAATCAAACAACTACCCAGGAGGAAATGAGTTAAAGAAACACAAATAATAATATTATGTGTATCATTGCTGTATAGAATACTTGTGTATTTACATAATCAGTTTAGCACCATTGGTAGTTTTAAAATATAAACGGAAATAACAAGCCATGCAAGCAACTAGGTTATAATGAAAACTATGCAAACAGGACAAGGCTGAGATGTCCTGAAAACTCAACAACACCATCATCGTCATGCACAACCTCTCTTGCATAGTGAAACATTTGGGACAGGCTCGTTGCCTATCTCATGACATGTTTAGGAAGAGCAATCAAAGATGCGTATTACTCCAACACAATACGTTTGCGGGTCGACCTGGGAGTTCTGACTGGCTTGCTAGCATACGGGGACGATCTCCTGCAGTTCAAACAAACAGATAATGTAATGATACAGTAATGTATGCAACATATTTATAAATAGTACCAATGATTTTTGTGCTAACTCCATAAGCGAATTTTATTATAGTGGATACGTGCACCCAGTGCTGTCTTTGGGGACATTACACATGAGGAATCAGAGATGTGGTTTTACAGAAGAATCATTAAAATTCCTTGGACAGCTTAAAAAGAGCAGTGCAGATTTTTTTTTAAAAAGATGAGAGATCGAAGACAACTTATCACAAACATCATAAAGAGACAAGTCGTCTTATTTTAGGGTCATAACAGGAGAAGGAAACTAGAGCATGTGACTACTGGACAGATCTGTTGAAAAGAGACAAAGAAAGACATTATGAGAAGATTCTTAACAACTTTTTATTTGGCATGAAGAGATGTCAGCACACAACACAAACTGATACATCAGCAGTTGCAAATCGCAGATTGTAAACAGGCGGTTTGAGGTTTAACATTTTTCAACAATGGATCAACATCATGGCACACGGGTAGTAACCCATAAGTGCTCCGTTCTTCTTCTAACTCAAGTCTGAGTCCGAAGAAGCTCAGCACAGTGCACAGGCTCTGTAGCACCGGCAAGGATCCTGAAATATTTTGGGTAGATTTTATACTCCAAATTTTGCCCAGGCAGCGCCATTAAGCTACTCTTTTCGATAACAAAACATAAAATAACATCTTGTAGGGAGTCGGCAGTCCAGAACCCAAGTTCAAGGTGTCTCCTTCGTGCCAAAGAACTGCATGGCTGTTGGATGTAATGTCCTAAGTCCCTTCCCCAGCTAATAGTGAGGGTACTGCTGGCGCGACCGTTTATTAACCCTCGTATAATGCTTCAGGTAAAAATAGACGCTAGGCACAACCCCCTTTTTTTTAAATCCGTGGCAAATGTTTATTTTTTTTTTCTGCCAGACGGTGGCCGTTGCATTTTTGCTCCATTTGTAGACTGAAAGGATATAGTTTCACCGCCCATCTTCTGAGCTGAGTGCATGGCGTGACACTGTAAGCTATGTGTGTTTTTCGTTGGCACAGGAACGGAGCAACTATGGAGTGACCCATTTGCTATGAAGCTGAAACTAAGATTACTAGATTACCAGATTACTCATTTCGATTTTCAACTGCCAAGGGATTTTTTAAGTACGCAACAATGCACACAAGCGTCCGATCTCACTACCCAGAGACCAGGAGGAATTACTAGAAAAGACCCCAGCACTTACCGGGGAGTGAACCCGGAACCTCTAGCACTCAAGGCGGACACCATGCCTCAAGACCATGCAGCCCCCCTGTGAACAGGCATGATCACTTATTCCAGTCTGCAAGGCACCTGATGATGATGATGTTAGCCCCATGGTGCAATTGTCATACCACTGTTGATATTCACAGCAGTGGCCTACATTTATATACAGGAAGTTTCTAGTTGTTCATTAAACTTCTGGACTTTAGTCTTGCTTTACAACTTTTGTGTGGCTTATTTATATGCAGACTACTGGTTCCTTGCTATAAGCTCTGCCACACAAACACTTATTGCCTATATTTACCATTTTTGCTGCACAAAAAGGTGTGTATATGTGTGTGTCTAATCTTCAAATCAGGCTTGGATTATTTTTCTTTTTTTTTTTTTGCCCCAAACAGAAATGTAGAGGAATGAAACATGGTTGCTCTCCTGTGCAGTATAAGCCGTACTCTGAAATAAATGAAAGAAAGGGACAAACTCAGGAAATAAACCAGTGGTGAAAATGTGACTATTACCTGGCTCGACACCGGTTGTGGAGAGTGTTGGGTGTGAGAGCACTCAGAGCCTGCATGTTTGCTGTCAGAGACTCCACCTCTCGTCTCAGCCTGGTGGGTGTCTCTAGGTTAGCACTGCTGGATATCCATGATGAGAACAATGACATCAATAACATCAAGTAATAAGAAATAGCATTCAGCAAGTCCACTAACCACTAAACTATTATTTCTCAGAGGGGCAGGGTTACAGGTCTCTAGGAAGGGCCATCTGCGACACAAGTCCTCCATTGATCCCTACAACTCTCTGTGTGGGTTCTGGAGCCCCATTCGGAGGGGAAGGAATAGAGTTACTTCCTCCTTATCAAGCATCTCTTAACTTTTTGAGTCCCAGGGGGTTTAGCATCACAGGCCCAGGGGGTAATAAACAGAGTCATAAAATCGGCGCATCATGTGTTCATTGGGCTTCTAGGTAGGAAGCTATGAACGTATGATGCGTTCCTTGGGACTCAAAGAGTTAAAAGGCGACTAAATAGGGATTTTCCCTCCGAAGTTAGAGCGCATCTGTCTGAGAGGCAAGGAACCAGTAGTCGGCATACAAATAAGCAGATCTGTAAAATGACTGCTCAAATAAGTGCCTCGAACAACCAGAACATTCTGCCCGAGTTTACAGCCAGTGAACATATAAAATTCAAATTCTTAAATAAGATTAAAAGCCTAGAAGTGGACAAACAATTAGAACATTCCGCCAAAGTTTACAGCTGGTAAACACTAAGAAGAAACAGAAAAAGATGCATTCAGCCTTATTTCCACAAGAAAACCAACTGACCAGACCTGTATTTCTTTACTACATGTAGAGAGAGTGTCTGAAGCGCATGTTCAGTATTCTGGGGTTGGTTAGTCTTTCCTCTTGAGCCTAAGGTGGCGCATAGGGCAGAGGTCATAACTCTCCATGTCTGCCAGTTCACTGCCACCTGTTTGGTTTAGGTCTTGGATGTTCATTAGGCCCATGGCTGAGCCTTCCCTGATGATGGTTCTACACTGGGTTTTCTTCTGGTCTTCCCTATTTTTTCTTCCCTTCTGGTGTCAGTATGGAGGGCTTGATGGGGAAGTCTTGTCTTATCCATTCTGAGTGCATGGTCGACGTAGTTCTGGGAGCACCTGCCCATAGATTATTACAGTTTGTTGAACAGCAGCTGGACTAATGGTTAAAAATGCTGGGCTCTCATGCAAAAGACCTATGTTTGAATCCTCTGTAGGATCATGAGGTTGCTTTTTTTTTTTTTTGCGGAAACAAATTAATCCTAACCTGCACAGGCTGTGGCGACAGCACTAGCTACGTAGGCCTAAATCCTAAGTCTCAATTATTCCCACCGCAAAAAGTGGTTAATAAGGGCAGGGATGCCATCAGCAATACCTGTTTACTTAGCCAAGCACATTCCAAGGTAGTGTCCCTTCAACACTACAATTTCTGCAGACAGCCTTGTAATGCCTATTCAACAAAATAGTACATATTCAACAGTGGTAGGCAACCGTCAGTCCCTAGGAACCATGAAGTTGTGCCCCTGTTTTTGGGAACAGCGTCTGTTATGACCGTGAAGTCCTATGTGGGAAAGACAGTCTCTGCCACATATAAATGACATTTCTATAATACTGAGGCTGGTTTTCTCATCTAAACATTGTTAACCATCAAATTAGTCTCTATAGCTTGCTGTGTTTGGCCTCTTACAAACCGACACAGACCATTTTTCACTGTGTGCTTCCTTAGGAGTCGGTCTGCACTTGATCTCTCCGAAGTGTCTGTGTCAATGTTGGTATCTTTCAGGTCACGTCTGGATATGTCTTTATAGCGTAGCCTTGGCCTTCCTGCAGATTTTCTTCCTGGTAGCAGTTCACTATACAGCAGATCTTTTGGAATCTGACCATCCTCCATGCAAGAGACATCTTCAAACCAACACAGGCATATTTTCTTCCTCAAAAAGTACACTGCTGGCATTCCTGCTCATAATATTCAATAGTATATTTATATATTCAATTGACATTTTGTCTGAGAAATGTGACACGCACCAAGAATCAGAAGAAAATGTGTTTCTAAATGCTAGTAATATAACTACTCAGGGAGGGCATTTGTTAGCAACCTTTGTGATCAAGCAGCTGGGTGGGTATTTATCAGGTAGCAGATTTCATTCTTCTTCTTTATGTGTTGACCCTTGAATGAGTGATTAGCTTTCACACTGTACTACGGTTTACAGCTAGGCTGCAAGATCTAATTTTCGACCCAAGACATCAAATTCTTAATTAGTCGCTTTTCATTCTTCTGGAGTAGTGGGCCCCCTTCCACCCCCCCCCCCCCCTCTCGGGCTCTGGAAACTATACTGGCATAGGTAAGACACTGAAGTAATATGTATTTTCACCTGTTAATATTCTTGGTCTTGACAACTTTCACACGGTTTCTGCCAATCGTAGATGGTGTGTCGATCTTAAAAGGTGAATACAGACGGATCTCTTGACTTCCAACGCTGCTGTTTCTTGTACCAGCTTTTTTTGGTGTTGATGGTTGCTGCCCTTTTTTGGATGACTTTTTCAGCTTCTGAATAACAAGTTACAAAATGTGTTAGCACAAAGTGTTTCATGATAACAAGTGAATAAAAAACAAATTTCAGATGCAATTCTTCTTTGTCAACTGAAGTGAGGACAGAATTCTTATGCGCTGTACAGTGTCATTTCTGATGTATAGAGGTGAATCATGGAGAGTTAATAGATTTGTTAAAAATTATATGAAAGCTGCAGAGATGTTTTTTTTTTAAACAAAAATGATAAGGAATTCTTCTTTACCCTTCAACGAGTGATTGGCTCACTGGGTTGTGGTTTACAGCCCAGCTGCAATTTCTGCACCTGCCTTTTGATTCAACACATCAATTTTCTGCTAACCACTAACTAGTCTCTTTTTATGCTCGGGGAAGCAGTGGGTCTTTCCCTCCTTCCCCAAATGTGACCCCAGAGTATACATGGAGGGAAAGAGTAATAAAGATGTCCTGAAAGAAACTGAAACAAGAAGAGAACTGATTACCCACATTAGAAGGAGACAAGGTAAAAAGAGGAGGTACACTGTGACAGTGGGAAAGTTGGAAGGGCAGAGGAAGACAGAGAACAGGCTAGACAGTTTTACACCATGGCATTGGAGATCTTCTGTGAAAGAAAGTAGTGCAAGTATTAAAGGCAAGAGATAGAACTAGGAGCTGTGTATAGAACAGACTTGACTGCCAACACCATACGCTGTGATGGGAGAAAGATGGCATGGGTTTTGTCGGTTACACTTACAGAACATTCATAAAGAACACTAGGTTTAGCTGGACCATCAACATTCAGAAACATTTGTCATGAATGGAACACGTAAAATCAAAGCCACAGCAAGACTAAACTAGATGGCTGGGACTCAGCTAACGCATCTCCTGCAACTTCATTTTTTTTTTTGCTCATGAGCTATGTGCAGCGTGGGAGATACTCTCGGCGGTGGCAGTATAGTCGCCGGAAGTCCGCAATTTACATGGAACTGAGGCCCTGTTAGGGTATATATATTTTCGGCCTCGATAATTTGGGACTCAATGTTGATTTTGGGGTAGAAGTCCGGCCCACAACATCTAAAAGTATCATTCCCAATACTTGAAGCGAACCCGACCTGGATCTTTATCTTTACTCTCAGGAAAGAGAATTCTTGAGCATCAAACAGTAGCGTAGTAAAGAGCCTGCTTTCTTTAAATTTGATGCCATTATTAACACTTTGAACGATAAATAACGCACACAAAACAAGAAATGTTAAAACACCGCCTGTAGGTCCACTTGTTGATTTCCTCCTGTCTTTGAAACAAGCGCCAATCCTAGCGACGTCTGCTGGCTGCATACAGAGCCAGTCGCTTTTGTTTTCGAAGGATTTCCTGGCTCTTTGTTTAGCTTTTGATGTAGCATCCCAACCGTAAAGAAAATGACCGTTTTTCTTGCATTTAGGCATATAGGGCTAGATCTGTATTTATAGACCAATCGGCACTTGGGGTAGGGGGGGGGTGATGTGGTCAGCATCACACTTATCACGTGCCGTGACGATATTGCTGATTTGATTCAAGAACCGACATCACAGCACTCGGGGATTTCCAATAAGCGCTCCGTCCCCATCTTCAGCAGCCAGCGAAGAGTTCCGATATTAATGGTGCCAGAAGCATTATGATTAAACGTCCGTCTTGCCTTTCCTCTGAGCCTCGAGCATCTGCCATAACTTCTTGTCACTCCCCCATGCATCAATCTCACCAGACTGGTGATCCATCTGCTCCTCCAAACTGTACACGCTCTCCCACAAGGCACAAACCACGTCTGCCCTATCGTGCATCAGTATTCCACCAAGCTGTGCAGAGCCAGCCAGTCTGTCCGCCTGTTCATTTCCCATCACACCAGTGTATCCCGGTGAAAAAATCCAGACAATACCCCTTACCCGTGTTTTCCACAGTGAAGCATGCCAGTCTACATAAAGCATGCCTGTCCTGATCTTCCTCAGCATGCTTTCTGAGTTAGTTATAATCACGATGTGATTGTCAAGACCCGATTACGTGATGAAACCATGTAATCTAAGTATTATTTCTTTAGGTTTTTTTTTTTTTTTTCAAGTTAGCTAGCTGTTATTTCTTCATCCGCTGCCACTTTCGCACTTAAAAATGGCGATATCAACGTCGTTTTGTGGTTGACAGCTAGGCCGCAATATTGCGCTTTTAGAAGAAAAGGACAAACACACTGAGTTTTCAACAGCCTCTTAATTGTGCGCCTTTTGCGACATGCTCGTCTGTGGGCAGTGAGTCTATCAGGTAAAAGTGCAATCAGCAAAACAAACACGAAAAGCTTACAGAAACACAATAATAATTTTCAGAAGGCATGCTACTGCTATAATTAATTCTTTAGCAGACAAAATCAAAACAGCATGTTACCAACAAACAAATAGAAACCGACCAAAAAGTAACTTGGCTTTTAAAGCGCGGTTCCTAAAGACATTTACATTCTAGGGGCAAGTGCACATACAGACAAACGAGCTGGTACACTTGCGCACGTGCACACACATACACTAATATCATTTCCCGTGAAATATAAATATCAGCAATCCATTAAAAACAAGACTGTATAATTTACCACAGTCGATGCATAGAACTGCGCCAAGAGATTATTTTCTCCATCTTTTTCACCAATAATCTATACATATAAAAATCAATGTTTGTGTGTTTGTTTGCCCCCTATAGACTCGGAAACTACTGAACCGATTTAGCTGAAATTTTCAGGATATATTTGTTTTGATACCGGATGTTGAACCATCATGGTTTAAAATTCAAACTGTCACTGTTAGAGATAGGTGACCACAATTTAAGCCATAATATTCGAAACTAATATTTATAATTTTAGTGATTTCTAATTATAACCACGTTAGTAATTGCGCATGCGCCGTGCAGCCAACGCCTCCTCTGATACATAGAGTAGGTCGTGGTACAGAAAACAAGACTATATCTATATCTGTGCAGGCAGTGATTGCCACAATAACTATATTAGACACGATTTCTATTTTCTGGGTTGTTTTTTTTTTTCAAACATCCTTCGATGAGTTGAAAAGTAGCCGATGGATTGATAGGGAAAAAGAGGGGGGGGGGGGGGCATCAGGGACTATCTCGACGTCTGCGCAGACATTGACTGCCACATTAACCGTGTTAGACACGTGCGATTTCTTTTATTGTGCCGTTTCATTAATATATTTGGAATATCTGTCTATGAGAAAACAATTGCCTGCTGTTTTGAGTTGTGTTACACTGCAGTAGAAACACACATCTAAAATAGTTATGTTCTCTTTTTGTTACTCCGATCATGTGGTTGCTTGGTCGAATGGTTAGAACACTCGGCTCTTGAGAGGGAGACCAGGGTTCTAATCCGCAGTAGCTTTTTTTTTTTTTTTTTTTTTAACTTAGGGCCAAAATAAAATCCTCACCTTCACTGTCGTGGTGACAGCACTAGCCATATGGCTCTTAATGATATATATTAAAAAAAAAAAAAAAAAAAAAAAAAAACAAGGACAGATTTGTGGGTAAACCAGTTGATAATTAAATTTGACCATTTCACATACTTATGATTTCATTTTAAACTTTTCGATTGCATGGATTGCATGGTTACGCTGAAATTTCATAGCTTTCCATTTATTTTCATTTAGATTTAATTATTTCATCTGCGTTGGAATTTTAAGCGGTGCTGTTTACCATAGCGTTCATTTCCTAACTCTGGTGTATTTTTCCTGTTTTAATTGGTTTTCAATTGGTTTTTTTCCCCCTCTCAACTACTTCGATGAGGGAAAGAGTAGTCGGTGAATTTTGGGGGGGGGGGGGCAAACTGATTACTGAGAGAGCTTTAAGTTACAGTAACTGCTTTACCCACTTAAAGTAGCAGCAGCAGTAGTAGTTGTGGTTGGGCTGTTACACCATAGTGCTCTCATGTGAAGACCGCCGGTAAGGTTATGGCGTTCTTCTGTCGGGAAGCGAAATTATACATCCTAACCTGACCAGTCTGTGGCGACAGCACTAGCAATGCGGAACCAAATCTTCTGGCTCACGACTCTCTGTCTACTCCGATGGTAACACAGATAGCAGTGACATTATTTTAGCTACTGTGGTGGTGGTCGTGGTAGTAGTTGTACTGGTACTTGAAGCATGATATGGTAAATATTACACTAGCCCCATTCACTACCTATTACAATTCCTGCTCCTCATTTTAGTTCGGATGGACAGGGATGTCAATGTCAGTTACAGCAACAACAAAATATCGCCAGGTAATGATTTTCAAATATTTCGAAGAGGAAGAGAGCAGTAGTCGGTGGAAGAGGGGAGGGGGTAATGACTTAAATTTAAGAAAACTTAAAGAGCTTTACACGTGATTTTCAAGTTCTCATTGCCTAATTTTTTTCATATTTTACTAATTCTACCTCCGCTTTTCTATGTTTTACGACTTACTTTGTTATTTACAAGTACAGTTGTAGCTTTACTTACGTCTCCTATAAAAATACAAACAGCTTTAGCATGTGATAACCAAATGACCACTTTTGTTATTGTGCTAATAGCACCATTTAAACGACCACTAATATAAAGACACAATTATATGGTGCGTGTTCTAAAGTTGGAAAACCAGACTATATATAAATGTGCAGAGAATGATTGCGACATTAACTATATTAGACAGGTGCGATTTCCATTGTCTTTCTTTTCCAAAAACCTTTGATGAGGGAGAGGGTAGTAGGTGGATTTAGTTGTGGGGGGGGGGGTGGTGGGGTGGGGATCAAAGACTATCTCTATATCTGAGCAGACAATGATTGTATTAGACACGTGCGATTTCTATTTTCTTTCATTTTCATTCAGCCAAACTATGCCACAGCAACGCGTAGCCGGGTACAGCTAGTACACTCATAAATTTCCCTTATAAGTTTCGGAGCCTTACTGTGCGGGGGGGGGGGGGGGGGGGGGGGGTAAACCCACTGCCTCCCCAACAAGCTATCTTTAGTGCATCTATCTGAGAGGCAAAGAACTGATAGTCTGCCTACAAATAAGCCAATCGTTAAACCCGATGAGTACGCAACAGTTAGGTTCTGGAACAAAATTAAAGCCCAGAGGTGGACCCCCCAAAAAAAAAAAAAACCAGAGCTTTCTGCCAGAGCCCCGTGAACGCCTAGAAGAAGAAGAAGAAGAAGAAGAAGAAGAAGAAGAAGAAGAAGAAGAAGAAGAAGAAGAAGAAGAAGAAGAAGAAGAAGAAGAAGAAGAAGAAGATTCATAATTGACATAAAGGCAGATATGAATGTAACGTTGCCTTCTCAGAACTTTATGTCGCTCCAGTTTTTTTTTTTTTTTTGTAGCCGTTGCGTTGCAGTCATCCCAGTTATAATTTGTTTGACGTTTAACGGTTTATCAAGAATTTTCCTCTGACGGATTGCATCCAGGATGATCTCCGAGCTCTCTGGGCACCCCACACTGGGGTGATCCACTGCCTTCTCTAATACTGGAGCTGGCCGTGGGTGATCAAACCTTTACTATCCTGGAGGAGAGCACGGACGGATGGAGAGAGATGTAGAGAGCAGTGTTGCCACTTTGGATCTTTTATATCCAAATTTAGATCTTTTTCATTGCATTTAGATACTGTTTTTGACGTTTAGATCGTAAATATTTTTCTAGATTCTTTTCATGTGAAGTTAGATATTTTATAGATTTTGTAGAAAGTATAGTTCAGGAACTGAAGAACCTTTTAATCAGCAAACATTTAGGCTTGAAGAATTTGGCTGTAATTGGTACTGATAATGACACAGTGATGGTTGGTATAAACAATGGCGTTTATGCCAAGTTGAAGGAAGCTAACCCATCGTTAATACTTATAAAATGTATGCGTCATTCGTTGCAGCTAGCATTATCACATGCTTCATCTAAAAATTTCCCAAGCAATTTGGAATACCTTATTGCTGAAACACTTTACTGGTTTTCCAAATCATTTGTCAGAAAACAGCAATACAATACATTATATACGGCCTTGAATGATGGTTTCCACACCACCGAAAATTCTGTCGGATTGCAAAAACTAGATGGTTTATCAATTTAAACCAGCTGTTGAAAGAATTATGAAGCAATGGCTGAAGTTGAAACACACACACTTTGAAATGAACAAATCTACAAAAGTGAAAAAATGGCTACAAACACTAGCTGAATACTGTATGGAAAATG